CTAAGTGACCACCAAGTACACCAAATTCCTGTTCCATTCTGGATTTTATCACTTCATGTAAACCATGTGCACATGTGTGTACCTTGCTGTGTTTGTGAAGACTTGTAAAGAAATGTGAATCCTTTGTTGCAAAAAAAAAGAAAGTTCAATAGCAGATGTTTCCTCTAGTCCCTGGCCTCTGTAAACTGGTGGGGTAACAGCCTTTTCTGACACTTACCCAAGGACAAGTTTTCTTGTGAGAGTGGTTTTCTCTGATTAAAGGGAATTAAGTTTTGGTTCCTTGCCCCACCATCTCTATTTTTTACAAAGGTGTTTGTTTGAAGGGTAAAAAGGATTCTCACTGATTCCCACAGTCATTGGTGCATAAGGAACTCAAGGTATCACTGGGGCAGGGATAAAGATCCTGCAAAATGTGTTCATTTTCCTTTTCCTTTTCCAATTTTGGCTCAAATGTTTATGTTTGTGCTGTCATTGTGCTTCTCTGATCCTGGGAAGAAGGGTCCTTGTTTATAGACAATATTTTAGAGAAGGCTCAAAGATTAAGAGGCAGCCTCAGAATCCTCAGAGCCTTTCTCATGTTTTCTATGACTTCCATCACAGATGAGTCTTTGGTTTGTTCCTGATGCTTGGTTTGTTTCATGTAACTCTAGCTAGAGCAATGGATGGAAAATCAGGGCATCTGAGCTGGGCTTGCCATGCTGCAGGAAAAGCTCTTTGGGGTAAAAAGAGAGATTTGAGGACTATCAGCAATGAATATCATTATGGCCATGATATTTGCTATTTTTTATTATCAACTTATTTAAACTGGGTTAAGCAAAAACTAGCTGAGGTTCTAGCCACCTGTATACAAAATAAACACTAGACCAATTAGAGGCAAGATAAAGTTGTAAGGAAAAGGATTAAGCTTCCTCCAGGGAACTTGGTTCCTTCTCTGTTCACTACTAAGCTAAAATGCCTTTGATGTCATTTATTCTGGAGCTATTGGAGATTTCTAAAGCATCTTGTAACAGTACAGGCCTAGCTCTGCTCCCCATTCTCTGAAGAAGGTGCATTTAAAGCTACCATGTACTACATGACTACTGCGTGTCAAGCTCTTGAATATATGATCTTATTTAATTCTCACAACACCCCTGTGGACTATGTCTCAATCTCCTCATTTTGCAGATGAAGACACTGGAGCTTGGGAGGTGAGTTAGCAAAGCAAGATTTCACATCTAGTAAGAGACTGAGGAGAAATGTGTAACCAGTTTCATCTGACTGAATCTCTTGTACTTTCTGCCATACTGGAATTCTTTATCTGCTAGTTCTGCCAGTCCTCCAGTTTCTTTCTGGGCCATGCAGGCCTCCTTTTGCAAACGTAGAACTAGGAGGAAAGCCATTTCTTGTCCTACCTGATGCAAATATATTAATTCTAGGGACATCTCTGGCAGGGGCACAGAAGCAGTAATATTTCTTCCCAAGAGCTGAGAATGGTGTAAGAGGGAATGAGTGAGCGGAATAGAGGCTGTTTGAGTTTTTTATCTGTAACTGTCATAGATTCTTCAGTACCCAGGCTGGGAGTGGGAGGATAGGGAATAGCTGGCGTTTCTGATTATAATGAATTTATATTAAGGCCTTTATCATCCTTTCGGGTCAATGAAAAACTGAAGTGGGTGGAGAATGGCTCAGCTTTTGGAGACAGGGCAGGTGGGGCAGAAGTGGGGGGGTAGTTTGTGTCGCCTCTTGCCTGCCTCTTAAGTTTACAAGGCCTTGCTGGCGCCAGGCGCCGAATTCAGGGCTCCGATGGCTACAGGGTGGGAGGCTTCTTCCAGGAGAGCGCTGAGAACGCAGTAGAAGCGAAGCATTATTGTCAGCACCGCGGACAGCTCCTGCCTCTTTTTTGGCCTTGGACGAGAAAGCCCGCAGGGTCCGCTGCTGCAGCTCGGAAACAGGCTGCTTCCAAAGTGGAGGACGCCCGGGCCAGGTGTGGGTTCGCTTCAACCAATTGTTAAAAGCTGTAGCTGGAAATCTCCATCCATGCTGCTGCGCTGGCCGCATGCGCCTGCATCGAGGCGTCGCCTCTCCAGTTCCGAGGGGGCCAGCTTGGTTTGTGGTTTTCCTTTGGGTCCGGTGTCTGGGCTCCTTTACCTGTCCCTGGCCTGGGTGAACCGCAGCCGCCCGGAACAGAGATGAGAGTGGAAATGCTCTCCTCCGTGCGGTGATAGATCATGCAAACGGGTGACACCAGTTTAACCAATAAAACAATTTGAATCAATTAGCCGGCTGAGGAGAGTCCCGACGTGTAAAATGCATGTCAGCTCGAATAGGAAAAGCATTGATTAACTCTGCCCGGACCGCTGCCTCCCGCCACCGCCGGCTCCTCCCTGAGCTTGCCAGGGTCTCTGGGGCCAGGACAGGGACTGACTAGGATCAGGAGCCCCTGGTCCGGGGGAGGAAAGCGGAAGGGCGGTGGAGCACCATCAGGAGACTTGTTCAAACTGAGGAGAAAGCAAAGGGTCAAAGAGAAAGCGGGTGACAGAAAGTTGCTCACAGAATCAAAACACATAAACAGGCTGTAATTCTGCGGTCCAGATCCGGAATTCAAGGTGAGGATTCTCCGGAGCATGGAGTCTGGTTTTGAATAACTGTTCTCCAAAAACTTTCATCTTCCAAAAATATAATAGTTCTAACAGCTCAAACAGGCACACCAGGCTCATTAGGGAAATAGAATATGGCGCTATTCTTAGACTTATTTATTTGTGCAAAAGTACTTAACACCATACATTTCTCTTTCCAGTGAAACTTTTTGCATTAAAATAAAGTCACAGGTTTGTGTGGCAGTAAGACCCCAAAGTGGTGTGTAAATGTTTATGTTTAAAGATCAGGTAAGCAGGTGGGTACAGGTACTGCCAGGTGTGCATTCACTCCTCAGGGTAAGCTGCGGTGGGAGGGAAGACAAACCTGGTTCTGTTTCTCTTTGCAAAGAATGTTAATGTTGAAGACACCTTTTTAAAAGGTAGGGATTCAAAAGGGGAAGAGGAGCCTTTTGGAGGGAAAGATAGGAACACGGAGACAAAAAGCAAAGATCCCATGTTGCTTCCTCCTCAGCAGCGACCTGTCACTTCCCTGTGGTACCTTAATGAGGTGATAGGACTTTTTATTGCTTCCCATTTTCAGTCTTAAAATAAACCCCATTTCCAGACTTTCCTTCCACGAGGCTGAGGCTTTCCTTCTAGCTGCCTGGGCTACTAGGAACAGTGAGCAAACTGGGACCTTGCTTTGTGGGAGCCCTGAACCCAGGGAGGATTCAGGGAAGGCAGGAAGAACCAGGCCTGGTCTTAACCATTTCAAGAGTCCGAGGCCTTCTGCCCACCTGGGGAAGAGATTTGTGAATGACAATGACACTCTTTTGGCAAATGGGTTGGGCAGGCATAAAGCATGTTTTCCTTTTTTTTAGGATGAGAGGCTTGGAGGGCACTGGGGAGGGAGCTTGACTCCAGTCCCTTAGGACGAAGCCTAATTTGTACCGCTAATGCCTTTAGAAACTAGGAGATGGATGAAAAATTATTTCACTGCCATTCGAAACTTATGCCCAAACAAATGTCACAATTTTCATGGCTCCGAAACTGTGTTTTCGGCATATTAATTTAAAACAACAGCAAATCCTGTACCCCTCACTTTTCTATTTGGTTGACTCTCCTTGGTTTTATTGACCTTTGATGAAGTGTTAAGATTTCACATTTTCACTCTTGTATCTATTTTGTGATGGTTTGTTGTTGATGCTATGATGGCGTCTGGTTGAGCTTCCAGGTTAGTGGACATCATTCGATCCATCACAATGTGACTGCCCAACTCTAAGCCTGTGTGTTTCACCAGGCAGCAATCGAAAATTCAGCTATGATTGTAAAGGAAAACTTAAAGGGTCCCCCAATCCCATCCTTGCAGGTATCCTTCTTAGAATGTCCTCTAAATAGGTAGCTAGCTTCTTCCCTTTCTGATAAATTAGGGGTGGTCATTTTGACCCCTCACAGCTGATCAATTAGGAGGCAATATACTGACCTTTCATTATATCCTAGGATGTGCCTCACTTTGGAGGAAGCTATGGGGAATGGTTCTGTTTCATCCTAGTTGTATTTATTTTATTTTTATTTTTTAGGGAACACTCCTACATAGTTCCCTGAGAAATTTGCGTTCCCCAGGGAATTGACAACTTGCTCAAGGGCAGATTAGAGTCAGGGACCTCTGTGCTTTCCTGTCTCACCTTTTCCTTGTGCTGAGGTGGCCTGCATGGGTTTTATAACATGGGTTACAGAACTACCCTGAATGAAGTTGATAGATTAATGCGTGCACACATGCATTCATTGAGGTCCTCACGCGATTGTACACTTTCTAAAATAGAGGATGCTGCACTGACTCTCTGTATCTTGTCCTAAAGAGCAAAAGTACCTTCAAAAGTAAGGGCACTCTCCATGCTTCCTTACAAGTTTTTAGACTGGGCACCCAATGCAGAACTTTCTCTTTCTCATTTCACAGTGTTTAAAACGAGGCGCTGAAGCTATTCTATTCTCTGACTGACTGTGGTTTCTATATCTTCGGAGATACAAGTGAGGCTACTGGTTTGCACCGTGCACCAGAGGGATCATTCACGAAGGAGGGTGACTCAGAGAATTGAGGGGAGGGGACAATAACGGGCAGGGATACAGTCACTTTCAAGGCGGCATTCTAGAATCTGGGGCGTCCAGAATCCAGGTCCCCCGGATGCACGCAGACAATTCGGCTTTCCATTCCTAGATCAGACATGCGACTCCAGCACCATGGCTGCGTTTTTGCTTCAGGGCTGGGGAGGTTATTGTCAATTACGGGTTGGTTAGGTGTTAGCTTTCGTGCCTGCTGAGAAAGGATCTCGGTTTTACTCGCTCTCGCTTTCGCTTTCTCCCTCCCTTCCTGTAACATGCCAGCCCTTTAATGTGGAGTGTCAGGGAGACGGTGACGTCACCTTGCCCGCTGGGTGGCGTCCCCTCGGTCCGACACGAGTTCAGAGACAGAGAAAGACGCTGTCAGACTGCGCTCCACCTGGGGCTCGCCTGTCGCGTGTTTCTGCGCGCCCACACTTTCTGCGGTCCAGGAGACGCCCCACCGCAATTCAGGCTGTCATTCTCCCCCGGCCCGGGTTCGAGCGCCATTAGACCCAACGAGCACCAAGATCTTCACGAAGAGCCCTTCGGAGTCCCGCCGGCTGGATTCCAGGACCCGCTTGGATGCTTCGCCTCCGAGCGCCCTTGGAAGATGGGCCGGCAGCTACGCGCGTAAAGACACTGAGGGGTCACCAGGTACTGCCGGAACCCGCCAGCCCTTACTCGGCACACAGCTCGCGGTTCACTATTTGAGATCCCCAGCAGTGGGATTCTCAGGGTTAGGAAAGGGGCATCGGCTGGCTTTGGTGGCGGTTGGTTTGGGAGCCGGGAGTGTTAAGTTTGGGGGTCTTTGGTTCGTGAGTGGGATAAGGAAGTTCGCCAGCTTCCTTTTTCAGTTCAACTAACTTTTAATTGTCTCGTCTCCCCTCTCTTTTAAAAACCGCCCACCCTAAACCCTCTTATTTGTGTGTCTGCTCTGATAGGAATTTCTGGGAGGGCTTGGGTGAAAGTGGAGGACACCCAAGAGGAGACACTTCTGCTCAGTCAACGGCTGCTAAAACTGCGGGTTTCTAACGCAAAACCAGCTCCCCGCCAGGGCTAGGCCAGCTGTGCGCCATTTCCCCAGAGCGCGAGTTCCCGTTATCCCAGGGTCTTATTACGATAACAAGAACCTTGTTTGGAAGGGAAATGCGCATGGAAGGACCATTTGGTGAAGTTAGGGCTGGTTGTGTCAGGCCCAGGTATCGCTGTGCCTTGAACTGCCATTTAACGCCCTGCCCCCTAGAAATATTGTCTCTGATCCATCCGAAGTGACAAGCCAGGCTTTCGTCTCGTTTGATCGCGTCGAGGTTTGTTCAACCTTCTTGGAGGCCGCAGAATGTAATGAGAAATGAGGATCCAGAGGGCAGCGGGGCAAAGGCATGGGGATGGATGACCCTGGGGCCCTGAGAGGGCAAGGATATGATAATTTGGGCGAAGGGGTAAGATAGTGTATCCTCTGAAATCGCTGTAATAAACTCCAGTGTACTTGTCTGCAGCAGTGATTTTCCAGGGTAAAAGATAGTCTTAGCTACTGCGTCCCACATGACATGTCGCTGTGGAAAGGTCACGACCTGCTTTCCTAGGGTATGAGCCACTTTGCCTGTTTTGACTTAGAATCATTGTTACAAAGGTTTCTCTCACTTACTTTTTCTGTATTTTGGATTTACTGGATATTTCCCCCAATTATGGTATCCCAGAGATAATAGGAATTTTAGCGCAGGCCCAGCCCAGATCTTTTGCTTTCAATGCTTTCACAGATTACCTAGTCCACAGATTATCTATACTGTGGTTATCTATACTAAGTGATTATCTATACTATACCCCTCCCCCCAAAAAGATATGGAGTAATCTACATAGATCAGAAAAAAAATGTTACAGAAAGTGGTTCACCTTACACCTAAATTTGCCGTTTCAAGCCTGCCAATAATGATTCCCCAAAATTCTTAGTTTCTTTGCACTGTTTCTGGGCTTAACACACTTGCCTGTACTTATTTGTTCATCGTCATGAAAATGACAGAAAAACAGTTTTTAAATGTCTACTAGTCAACAACTTCATCTTTTAAAGCTACGTATCTGAAACCAGAGCCACTCAGTTCAGCAAGTGGCTTTTTGAAAAACTGAAAGTGCAACGCCCTATTTTGGTGCAATCATGTATATGGCTTTGTACATATTTTCCATCTTTCAAAAAAAATTTAATTACAGTATGAAAATATCTAATGGTAAAGATGAGGAGGAAGGGATTTCGTTTTGCTTTAATGAGCTGTGTCTCAACCAGTAGCGAATTTCCCTAAGGAAACCAAAAAAATCACTTTTTCAAAGGTTTGCGTTTTTGTTTTGTTTTTATAACCAAAATCAATCTATTTTCAAGCAAACGGTCTCTTTTTAAATTTGGGTTTCAATGGCCAAGCCCCAGTTTTCCATAACTTTTGTAATCTGTACTGGTTTACAACTGTCATCTTTACTTCCTGATTTCTAACGGGCAAGCCATTTATTCTAAGAGCACCTATAAACCGGGGATAAGGTCTTGAGTTTCTCAGGAATTGACTGCTTTTTTTTTTAAACACATAGTTCATTTACTTTGGATGTTTAGAAGAAAAGTCCTTCCAAGTCCCTGCACACCCTGCAATTTTCTTCACAACGTGAAGAAAATTAAGAGAGATGACTTTCTTGTGTGCGAAACTTGGTCCCTCTGCCCAGTGATAATATCTTAACCGAAGCAAGGAAATTATTGTAATTCTTCAGTGAGGGACTAAACCCAGCCCTCTGTTTTAGACTGAAAAGGCTCTTGTCAACGCTTTCTCCTTTCCCTTCCAGTCTCCAAGGCAGACCCGGAGGGCTCGGCCCGGGCTTCCGCTGCGGAGGAGATGGCTTCCAGTCCGCTGCCGGGGCCCAATGACATCCTGCTGGCATCGCCGTCGAGCGCCTTCCAGCCCGACGCGCTGAGCCAGCCGCGGCCGGGCCACGCCAACCTCAAACCCAACCAGGTGGGCCAGGTGATCCTCTATGGCATTCCCATCGTATCCTTGGTGATCGACGGGCAGGAGCGCCTGTGCCTGGCGCAGATCTCCAACACGCTCCTCAAGAACTTCAGCTACAACGAGATCCACAACCGCCGCGTGGCGCTGGGCATCACGTGCGTGCAGTGCACACCGGTGCAGCTGGAGATCCTGCGGCGTGCCGGGGCCATGCCCATCTCGTCCCGCCGCTGCGGCATGATCACTAAACGTGAGGCCGAGCGCTTGTGCAAGTCGTTCCTGGGCGAGAACAGGCCGCCCAAGCTGCCGGACAACTTCGCCTTCGACGTGTCGCACGAGTGCGCCTGGGGCTGCCGCGGCAGCTTCATCCCCGCGCGCTACAACAGCTCCCGCGCCAAGTGCATCAAATGCAGCTACTGTAATATGTACTTCTCGCCCAACAAGTTCATCTTCCACTCCCACCGTACGCCTGACGCCAAGTACACACAGCCGGATGCAGCCAACTTCAACTCGTGGCGCCGTCATCTGAAGCTCACTGACAAGAGCCCCCAAGACGAGCTCGTCTTCGCTTGGGAGGACGTCAAGGCCATGTTCAACGGCGGCAGCCGCAAGCGCGCGCTGCCCCAGCCAGGCGCTCACCCCGCCTGCCACCCGCTCAGCTCCGTCAAGGCAGCCGCTGTGGCAGCGGCAGCGGCGGTGGCTGGAGGCGGGGGACTGCTGGGCCCGCACCTGCTGGGGGCGCCCCCGCCGCCCCCGCCACCACCGCCCCTGGCCGAGCTGGCGGGTGCGCCGCACACCCATCACAAGCGGCCGCGCTTCGACGACGACGACGACTCGCTGCAGGAGGCGGCAGTCGTGGCCGCCGCCAGTCTTTCGGCCGCCGCAGCCGCCAGCCTCTCGGTGGCCGCCGCTTCGGGCGGCGCCGGGGCGGGAGGGGGCGGTGCCGGGGGTGGCTGCGTAACCGGCGTGGGCGCCGGCGCGGGTTCGGGCGCGGCAGCCTGCGCTAAAGGCCCACGCAGCTACCCCGTCATCCCCGTGCCCAGCAAGGGCTCGTTCGGGGGTGTGCTACAGAAGTTCCCGGGCTGCGGGGGCCTCTTCCCGCACCCTTATACCTTCCCGGCCGCAGCCGCAGCTTTCGGCTTGTGTCACAAGAAGGAGGACGCGGGGGCCGCAGCCGAGGCCCTGGGGGGCGCAGGGGGCGCGGGCCCGGCGCCCAAGGCCGGCCTGTCGGGTCTCTTCTGGCCAGCGGGCCGCAAGGACGCCTTCTACCCGCCATTCTGCATGTTCTGGCCTCCGCGGACCCCAGGCGGGCTTCCCGTGCCCACCTACCTACAGCCCCCGCCGCAGCCGCCCTCTGCGCTCGGCTGCGCGCTTGGAGAAAGCCCGGCCCTGCTGCGCCAGGCGTTCCTGGACTTGGCCGAGCCCGGCAGCACGGGTGGGAGCGGTGATGCTGCGCCCCCGCCAGGTCAACCCCCTCCCGTCGTGGCCAACGGCCCCGGCTCCGGCCCTCCGCCTGCTACCGGGGCTGCGGGCGCTCGCGAAGCCCTCTTCGAGTCGCCCCCGGGTGGCAGCGGTGGGGACTGCAGTGCGGGCTCCACGCCGCCGGCCGACCCCGGCGGCGTGTCGGGGGCCGGGACCGCGGCTCCCGGAGCGGGCTCTGCGGGCGCCCGAGTGCCCGCGCCCCACCACCCGCACCTCCTGGAGGGGCGCAAGGCAAGCGGAGGCAGCTACCACCATTCGAGCGCCTTCCGGCCGGTGGGCGGCAAGGACGACGCAGAAAGCCTGGCCAAGCTGCACGGGGCATCAGCAGGCGCGCCGCATGCGGCCCAGGCTCATCACCACCATCACCATCACCACCCGCACCACCACCACCACCACCACACCCCGCAGCCGCCTTCACCGCTGCTGCTGCTGCCCCCGCAGCCTGACGAGCCGGGTGCTGAGCGCCACCACCCGACCAGCTGCAGCTACCCCAGCGAGGACAGCTCCGAGGACGAGGACGACGAGGAAGAAGAGCAGGAGGTGGACGTGGAGGGCCACAAACCCCCCGAAGGCGAGGAGGAGGAGGAAGGTCGAGAACCCGACGATGACGAGGAAGACGAGGAGACGGGGGTCCTGTTAGGGGACCCCTTAGTTGGGGGCGGCCGGTTCCTCCAAGGCCGAGGGCTGTCGGAGAAGGGGAGCAGCCGGGACCGCGCGCCGGCCGCCGCGGGTGCTTTCCCACTCGCCCTGAACTCCTCCAGGCTGCTGCCAGAGGACGGGAAGCTGGGTGACCCCGGAGGCTCGGACCTGCCCCCGCCCCCGCCCCCGTCCCTGGCCTCCCAGAAAGCAAGCGGCGGCGGTAGCAGCAGCCCGGGCAGCCCGGTCCACCATCCGTCACCGGAGGAGCAGCCCTCCTACAAAGATGTAAATATCCCCTTTAGGCTCCTTCAAGCTAATTATTATTATTTAAATGCACCTTTAGGCTGAAACGGTTACATATGCGAAGGAAAGATGAATCACCAGATTTCCCCACAGAAATGAAATATTCAGTGTGTTTGGGAGGGCTTCTTTCCTGCCAGTGGTCCTCCATAAAAATGCGGTTTCTGGTCTTTTTCTTACAAAGCCTTTCCAAGGCTTTGGGGCCTCTATTCCCCTCCTGTATTTAAGTTGGCTGCTTGTAGAAGTTGGAAAAGACCAAGTCCTTCCTCTAATCCACCAATCTGCTCTGCCCCACCCCTCCCTGCCGCAGATAAGCACAGCTGTTCCCCCAAAAGCAGTGGGACCACATAACTGGAGCAGTCTGAATAATCTTGTACCCTTTCTTCTCTGTAGTTCAGGGCCTCCCCCTACCATGGCCCAAAAAAGATCAAAATACATTGACTTCAGTAGTTAAATTCAGTTTTATTTGAATACTTTAATCAAGGTTGGACCCCCAGAGCTCTCTAATCAGAATGCACAGATCTGTAAAATATTGTGTCCAGTAAAAGATAGATGCTTCAGCAAGGTGGGCTTCTCCCAAACCAGTCTCCACACTCCTAAACATGCTACCTAGGACCTCTAAAGACCACAGAGTTAAATTTAAATGGTTGAACATCCAGTGTTCACTCAAGTGTACATAGAAAACACTCTCAAGGACTTCAGAGTGAAGTGACTCTCCCTAATGTAGTGTAGATTTGACAAATAACGTGGTGCTTAGTTACACAGCATATAATAGATGTGTATTTAATTAACATATTACTTCTTAAAGGGTAGTGTGGGGTACATGTAGTTTTACACGTGTACTTAAGTACCACAACTATTCAAAGAAGATGATCATCAAAAAATGTAGTCTCCTGAGGCCCCATGGAGTCACTTTTATTGATGCTTCTTCCTGCTGACTGTTGACATTAGCATATGGTTTGATCTAGGCATTGATTTGTGTGTCTAATTCTTCTCCACACAGAATCAGAAAACTAAGGAAAATAACCAAGTCATTTTATCTACAAAGAACGACAACAACTTTTCAGGTAAAAGAAAAATAAACCACCAGTTTTTTCCCCTGCACTTAACCATTTCCATGAGATGTATACTCAGTATCTCCTGCCCCCTAGCACCATTCTGTGGGTTTTCAGCCATTGAATTTTATGGGGGGAGGTTGGATATTACAGTTTATATTTTAAAGGGTAGCATTTCTGTAGGTTCCAAGCACTGGCAATTGCCCAAATAACAGCACGGTTGCCCCAATCTCAACATACCTCTTTGCATTTAAATGATGCCAGCACTCTAAACATACAGAAACACATAAATACGTGTTAAAATTATTGGATATCTTTGTTTCCCACTTGTCAGTATGATCACTTGTAGATTTTGTTTTGTTTTATTCTAGATAAGAACAAGGAGCATAGCTTTTTCATCACAGACTCTGATGCTTCCGGAGGAGATTTTTGGAGAGAAAGATCAG